TTAGAACACACGTACACATGAACTTTAACAACAAACATGTTTATTCCCCATCTGTTTGTATTGTATTTGCTTTTTTTTTTTTGGAATTGCAATCGCAGCTTTGGATTTAGTTAATGTTATTACTGTTCATAATGGCTGGTGTTAACATACTATCATTTTTTATTGTTTTATTTAAGTTGTATTGTATTATTTAGATGTATTGCATTTTTTTATTCTGTATTTTATTTATTCATTCATATTTTTTATTTATGTATTCATATATACAGTATATATATTATATATACACACTATATATATTGTATATATACAACTCTCTATATATTTATTCTGTATAAATGTGTGTGTGTATATATATATATATATGTATATATATATATACACATATAAATACACATATGTACACATACTAATACATACATGGGCTTTGGTACTGCAAGTCATCAAATCCCTATTTCTAACTTGGCGTGTGTGTGTGTGTGTGTGTTTAAATAGGGTAAGAGTGTGTGCCAAGCCTTAACGCGCTGCTCTAGCTTGTGTCACTCACTCAACCCTCATGTAGGGCTGACATCATAGCTCTTGTTTTAGCAGGTGAAGAGGAGAAGGGGGGGTGTGTGTGGGTGTGTGTGTGGGGTGGCGGGGGGGGGTCAGTCCATTCCAACAATTACCTAATGCTCTCACAGATGACCGAAGAGGCCTGAGAAGCACTTCAACAACCATCTAAGCTGCAGTGGCGGGGCGGAGCCTCACAGATATAGTAAAGAGGGTGTGGCCGCGGCGTTCATGTTGCTAATTCTAATCCCCTCCTTAGGCCCGAGGGCTGGTGAGGTAATTAAGATTGTTCAGTAGTGTGCTTTGGCAACAAAGTCACAGTCGTCTAATGATCTTGTTCTGGGTCCAGACAACCGACTTGTGAAGCTTGTCTTGTTGTCATGTGTTTGGCAGAACGATGCGAGAACGGACGAGCTGACAGCAATGGAAGGGTTCCCGGTAAGAGTAGAGTTCACCGTACCATGACGGGACCAGGTAGCGTCCCATCATCCCAGGCTTCTTTTGACCTTTGACCTTCCCTTGGATCCATGAGGCGCGAGAATCCAAAATACACCAATCTGTTCAGTTGGCCAATTTTAGCTGATACAAGTAGACTAAGAGAAAATGATTTTCAAAGTGTTCAGTAAAAATTAAAGTTATAATGTAAGGTTAGGAAAATGATATAAAGCAGATTGTTACGGTACGTTAAAGTAACTGTATTGAAGACAGCTGCTGTGCAGTAAGAAAAAACCAAAACAAATACCAAGTGGAGGTCTTAGTGAGGGTCCACTCTGTAGCCTTGACTTGGGATTGCTGGGGTTTTGTAAGGATTTCAGTGTAATCTGGATGAGGACAGAAATACTCCGTAGGTGAACATCACCAGAGGTCGACCTCTGTCTTCTGCCTTTCATTCATTTCCACTCACTTGTGGTAATCGTTGTTGACTAAACCAACACGTGACCCTTGACCTTTGTACCAGATAACATTATTGTATATATTACCGTTCTGTAATGGAATATTGTGAGTGTCAGGTTTGTATTGTTTTCACTTGAACTAGGGGTTTTTCCCAACACTAGGGATGTGAGAAAGTATCGATACACTGAAATATCACGATAAATCGCCTCACGATATTGTATCGATATTCTACGGCACTGTATCAAATCGTATATTAATTATCTTACCCATGATGCTCTGGGTTGCATGACACACTGACGTTAGCTGCATATGTGAAGATTCCATTGATGTGGAGATTTACAGTATGAATGGAATTTTAGCGATATACTGTTGGCTGTTGTTGGGACTCGGGATAGGTTAGTATTTTGTATATTTATATAGTGTAGTAGTAGTAGTAGTAGTAGTAGTAGTAGTAGTAGTAGTAGTAGTAGTAGTAGTAGTAGTAGTAGTAGTGGTGAACCTTTTAGTGCTGGGAACCATCCAGTAACTCCACGGTTCTTTCTTAATGGTGACTGTACGACCTGATGTAAGAGAACAGCCTTATGGGTTTGGTTTTTTTTTCTCACATCTTTAATGAGTCCGTGACTTTTCTGCCCGTTGCTCTTCATCTAACCTCCCTGTAGGGAGCGTACAGGGGCTCAGAGCGCAGTCCCAAACCATCATCACTTGGCCCGTCGGCAGGAACTTCTCACTGCCAGGCTTAGGTTATTCTCATTGGCTCAGTGACGCACAGATCAAATACACACTCTGGTCACTGTGGACACGGCGTGCGCTGCCAGTGTCGTGAGCCCAGAGAATGCAGCAGACTCTCTGCTTCTGATGCCGCCAATGTCTGCCTGCGTAGAATCCAACAACAGGCTTTGAATTCAGAATACACCCGAGTCGCGCACGGCTCGTTGGAATGTTCTGTCCTGTGTGTATACAGGCTGTGGGGGATTAGACACACATTGTTGTCGGTAGTGAAACAGATTTGTTGATTGCACATCAAGCAGCAGGTGTGCTTAATGATCTGCAGCGATTGTGTAATATCTGACGCATTAATTGCGAAGAGTGAAACAGCAGAGAAATGGGGCCAGGTCGCCAAGGATGAAGTAACCTATCCAGTATTCTGCAAACTCTGTATTTTTATTCCAAAGACGTCATGCAAGGACATCAGGGACTGAATTTAGGACACGTTGAGTCTCCCGAGAGTTCCTCAGTGTCTTCCCTCTTGTACTTGCTCTCCTGTTTTATCTGGTGAGGTAGGAGGGATGTCAGTGCAGACAGGACAAAGGTCAGGGCGTTCTCTGGAAAAGCAGCACAAAAGAAAAAAAAAACTAGTGCTCATGTTTTTGCATGACACAACAATTGGCTCAATTGGGACACCGGTGTAAAAGGTAGTTCTTAACGCTGGATTGACTTCAGTGTGACATGAATCTGTGACACCAAGAACACGGGTGTCCACACTTTTTTTTTGTCTTGGCTGCTGCCTTCAAATGACCAGAGTTAAATGATCTACATTGAAAACTCTAAATATATATTCACTCATAACGATAACTAAATATCTTGTTATATATAGTGATCCCTCTCGTATCGCAGTAGTTGCGTTTCAAGTTTCATTTTATGATGTTTTTAGCCCTTGTGAGTAGCATCTCCCAATAGAATTACATCTATAATTTAAATTATTATTATTTTTAAATGTAATTGCTCAGTACCTACCACACCGGTCTACTGGTAGATCCTGATCTACTTATTGGGCACCTCTGCACCAGAATATACGGTATTCACAGACTCTTGTGCTCACTTTATACTCAAACAGAAAATATTCATGAACATGTATCTTTTTTTTTTAACTTTTTGTGATTTACATGGCAAAGAATGTATGCGTTGAATGCAAACTTGAGTGTTCATGCAAGGAACAATGCACCAGTGCTGAAATCTAATTTTGGTTTGAATAGAACAATAGGGATTTACGCATTCCATGTCAACACAAAGTAGATATGGATTGTGTCAGAGTGTGTGTGGCTGCGTGATGGCCCCGTCACTGATGTGACTATGGAGGAATATTAAAGTCAGGCGTTGGTTTTTGTTTGTTTTTTTTCAAATCTATTAAGAAACTTGGAGGGAGGATGCAGCTTTTGAACTGTAATGTGGGCGTGTGTAGAAACACAGAAAGGGCAGAGATGTCGTCGGCCAAAGTGACCCACCCCGGCCTGTGTGGTCTGTGTGTCCTCTGCCAGTGATTCAACTGGAGTTTTCTGCCTCACAGACTGTGGGTTTGAACACCATGAAAAAGACAAGTTGAATGAAGAAAAAACACATGCTTGACATGTCAATTAGACGTTTGTGTTTGGAGAAATGTTGCCTCAGTGCCCGAGTCTTTAATCTGCACTATTACCACATTCATAACCTTTTCAAATATCGTTGGCGTCCTGAGGACATTTTGAGTTCCATTGTCGAAACACACGAACCAGACTGTTTATAAAACAGAAAAAAAGGATTGAGTCATTTAATGGTTTACACAGTTGTGAACGGGCTAGCACCGCTGCCTCACAGCAAGCTCCACAGATCCAAACAGAAATGGTTGAATTTCAATTTTGCGAATTTTCAATCTGGTTTTGAAAAGTGTGTAAAGTCCTTTTAAATGTTTGGAATTTGAAACATATTTTAACAAAAAAACTCCCAAAACAACAGAAACTACACTGCGGCGTCTGCTGGGATTCACATGAGTCTTCGCGTTTGTGACGGGATTGCTTGTTGTCATGTGGTACGTCGCCAGTCGAGTGTGGTTGGTGGGCCGAGATTCTTCAAGGACTAGACAATTAACCTTAAAGTCCTTTTAAAAGTGGTTGAATTTGACCATGACAAAAATGTACAAATCCTGTATATGTTGTAAACATGTTAGTGTAGGCAGGTTAAAGTTACAAACAAACAATAAATAGCTTTAAATAAACATTCTTGTAATTGGATAAAAAGAATTTCCCATATTTGGCTTAAAAAAAATTAGTAAAAATGCTAAATACAGTTGAAGACAATAAGAAGAAATGTTTGACTCGACAGATCAGATTTTCGGCCCCGTATGTTTCCAGAACTGGAGCAGTGAAACTGTTTATGATGGGATGTGTGGCCAGACGGTCCATTGATTCCGTGTGGTTGTCGGTTTGGAAGCCCATGGTTATCGACAGCTTCGGTGCAGATCTGTGAAAGTGGCCCCACATGAAGGTTGAGTTATTCTCTTTGAGGTAACGTACGCAGCATGGGCAGCTAGCTCCACTATCTTAGCGGCTCAGTGCGCGGTGGAGCGTGTGCGTCCCACAGCACCTTGTAGCCCATCGCTGAGCTCAGTGTGTGTGTGTGTGTGTGTGTGAGCTAGAGCACATCTGTGGATCTACACCAGTGATTATCAACTGGTGGCCCGCAGTCCCAATCTATCTAATAATAAAATTAGACAAAAATTATATTTTTTAAGGGTCTGCAAAAACATATATATGTCACACCAGCCAGTTAGAGTGCCCTCTGGAGGCTGTCAGTATCAAAATAACAAATGTGAAATTATATATTTGCATAGTAATATTAGTAATATAGTTTCACCTGAGTATAAGTCGCACATCTAGCCAAAGGATAAAAGAAAATAAAACTTTTTCATATCTGTAAAATATGGTTATAAAGACTAATGGAGGACATGGATTCATCTCCATTTAATTCAGACTTTTAGACAGCAGCGAGGCACCGTTAGTTTGTTGACCTGTAGAGTAGAGGTCCAGATGTCCTCCGTTGTATTGGCAGCTCTGTATATAATGTTCTATTTAACCGAATGCAGAAGGTTCTAAAAATAAGGGGTTAAGTGAGGAGACCTGGGACGCAGTGCGATCCGAGGATGGCAGGAAGAGCCGGCGAGCCTGTTGCCCCGTCTCAAAGTGAAGGATGTGCAGATTATCATTGGTAAATGGGGCAGCGGTGCACGTTTTCTTGAGAGCACGAGAAGGGCAGACATCCCAAGATTCTCTGCATCCTGGTCCCAGCTCTGGGGTGGAGGAAGCTGTTTACTCTTTCTATCTCTCAGCGCTGACGTTGGCGCACCAAACAATGTCATCCAATTTCCTGTTTTTCACTTTAGTGGAAAGCCACTCTCCAAGTGTGTGTACGTGTGTGTACGTGTGTGTACGTGTGTGTGTGTACGTGCGTATGTGCTTGCGAATCAGAAGAGCTGGTAGCCTGAAGAAGGACAGGAGGAGATCTATAGGGCCGGATACACTGGAAGCAGGATACAAGGTCAGAGGCAACTCCGCTATGTAAATACATCGGCCGGAGCGAACGAGCTAAAACGGACGAACGAGGCTGTTCAGGATTCAGCTCACGATGACCGTGGACAGCTGTGACAGCTGTGGATGAAAAAGATGGAGACACGATTGGTGGTTGGGTACAATTAATTCCACGTCATGTGATGTGAGAATGGTTTGACGTTTAAAGTGTAGCTTTTGTAAAAACGTGGCCAGGTCAGTTTGGACTCTGATGCTGTGGCGAGCCATGATGAGGGGAACAGCAGAGGGGATTTAAATACCACGACCAATGATACCCCAGGCCATAGGAAGCAACAGTTCTTTTGTGTTCTAGTGTCCTGATATTTTAGCATACCCATCAGAGTAATGTCACTGTACATCAGTGTTTCACAAACTTTTTTTCTGGGGACCCATATTTTAAAAGTCACAAAAATTCACGACTCAAGTCAATAGACATTATTCGTAAACTCTTGGCGTAAAAAAAAAACTTTTGCGACTCACCTGAGGGTCGCGACCCACGTAAAAAAAAACTCTTGCGACTCACCTGAGGGTCGCGACCCAGTCTTTGGGAAACAATGCTGTACATGGCCCAAGAACACCGGTCGATGTTGGCACGGCATACCATCCCATAGCATCCCCTGATGCTCTCATTGGTCGACACCTGTAACTGTGTCAATCCTAAGACAGTACCAGTGGTTAGGGTTGGCTGTCGATCGGTACCAATGACTTGTGGCTACGTGTATTCAGAGCCGTTCTTTTCCTACCACTTGTCCTTTGCACCGACGTGTCATTGCAGCCAATTGTAAAAAAAAAATATTTTTCCAATAAAAAAAATTAAAATAAGCATTTATGCACAATAAAATAACAGTTACTTGTTAATTGATGATTGCATCATCGTGGTAATAAATGTGTTATTTCGCCCTGACCCACTAACGGAACTGCAGTGGTACGGAGGTACGTGGAACTTTATCACTTTATATTTATTGAATTACATTTAATTCATTTAATGATCATAGCTGTGTGCTCACCTCCTGTGTTGACATCCCTCATTAAAATGTTTGGCAGAAGACGCCGTCGCTTTCCAGTAGTGAGCGACTTTAATTAAGCATATAATAAATTAGCCAGAGGTAGTCCTCGTGGGTTGTTAGGGTGATCAGATTCCTGAGTGTCCTGGAAACAATGTACCTGTCTGGCTGATCATTTATATTCATTAACTGAATTAATTGGCCAGGTTTCGGTCGTTTGCTTGTGTGTCTGTCTCCTCCACAAACCTGACGAGCAGTTCACAGGAAGACAAACCCAGAGAGTTGACTGGAGCTACCCAGCTGCGTAAAGCAAAGAGGGCGGGTCTTGTCTGACGTCAGCACACACACACACACACACCGCGGCCTACTTGCTCAGCACTCACTTCCCTTGCTTTGTCTGCGTCTGGTTGGTTGCCAGCATGATGTTTGTGGGATGCAAATGGAGTGATTCATCACCGAGAGTGTACGTGTGTGTGTGTGTGTGTGTGTGTGTGTGTGTGTGTGAGAACATTGCAGCCTGATTGTGTTGACTGAGGTTGGCTGACTGGTTCAGCTGTGTGTGTGTGAGTGTGTGTGTGTGTGTGTCAGTGAGAGTGTAGAGGGGCAGGCTGGCTATTCGAGTTACACAACTTCAGCGGTAGCCGAGTCTGTTGTGTTGGTGAGAGAGTGAGTGACGAGACTCGGAGCGTGGCGCTGACGCTGTGTTGTGCGTCACCGCCTGACCGACACGCAGCGTTAGAGCAAAGTTTGTGACATTTGCTGCGCTGCGTTCTCTCAGAGGAACGTTTCCTGGGTTCTCACCTGAAAGGGAAACTGAGCGAGCAGTTCTGACACCTGCTGCTGAGAAGTTCAAAAATGTATTTTCATTGAATATGATGGCTGGATCAGGAAGTTTGAAATACTTTCAACACTAAACTTTGGAAAATAGAATTTTTTTTTTCTTTTTTTCTTGTATGTTTTCATGCTAGCTGCTGCCGTTTCTGTATGTTGTCATTAGCATCTGTGCTTTTTTTTCGATTTATCAGTAAATATTAACCAACATACTGACTTTCTTTAATCTAACGTTTTTTATATGATATTATTTATATTATATAAAAATATGAATAATATATATATTATATATAATTGTTTGGTGTATTTTCAAATGCAGAGATTTGCTTTTCCTTCATGCTGACTTTTAAATTCTAGTCAGAGTTGTGGCTTCTTTTTTGTTTTTTTATTTTATTTTTTTAATGTATGTGAACCAACTCTTGCCTGTGGTTCAGTGGAACCAATGGCTTGCTCTAATCACATGGTGGGGTCATGTCCCGTCCACAGTCAGTATCAGGAGGCCTTTGCTCTAATCTGGCAATTTCGGCATCATTTTTAACACTGCCAGATTTATACTCTGGAACTGCCTCTGAAACAGAATTTTGCAAATGTATTGCGGCAAAAATACAAACACAAAAAAACCCCTGCAACATCAACACTTTTTAAAGGTCAAAACATTTAAAATTTTAAATATTGTATATGCGTAAGTAGTAATATTTTACAGCAACAAAACTTTTCAAAGACATTAAAATCTGAGCAAAACCTATCAGTAATGTTACACACACACACACACACACACACACACACGCTGCACATGTGCCTATCATGCGAATGGCTCCTCGTGCCTGTGGAAGATCAGATCATCCCCGAGCATCAGCCTATAGACGTCTCCCTTGTAGTATTTGTGTTTGTGGACGACTCCAACAAACGACCCAGTGTCTCTGTGACGTCAGTCAGGCCACAGCCGGAGGCTAATCTGCTTTTTTGCTCCCTGCTCTGTTGTTGCAAATTGTTTGAAAACGGATTCCAATTTGGCGAGAAGTGATTTACTCCAGCCTGGTAGGCTCTAAAATTCCTCTCTGTATTCCTCCTCACATGTGTAGATTGTTTACGGAGAAGCAGAATTCTAGAGGGATGGCAGTCCGCGAGGGGCTTGGTTGCTATGGTTACTAACCCCTGAGCTGGGCTGCATTTAACAGGAAGAAAGCTAAATTATTTGCAGACACA